CTGTTTTTCCCAGAGAGGGGCTGAGGAAATAAACCCCTTACTACTCAAGTCTATTCAGAATGATCCTCATCTTTGGTTCCTTGAAAAGGATCTGATGTGAGGACTGATTTCAAAGTGCAGGAAAGGGAACTTGCTTCCTAATGCTTCCTCTCCTATTACTGATGCTAACCTTTCATCTCACATTAAGAAACAAATTGCAAATGCCAACACCCCTGTTAATAGCTGACTTATTTCACTTCAAAGAATCAATTTAATTTAGTATTTCTGAATTTATCGAGGAGTACAATGTGCCCATTGCCATACTAGCTACTGCGGAATAGAAGTCACTTAGATATGCACTGAGCCTGGGTTCTCCAAAAGCAAAACTCAAGGCAAGGATAAAAGCACTGACCCCACATATGGGGGCAAAGTGCAAGCTCAGTTGATGTGCATTAAAAATAAAAATAGAACTGAAGCAGGAAAAGATGAGAAATCATTCATTGAGTTACTCTGCTGACCGCTTCTTTACTCTTGAGTCTCAATTGGAAACCACTGGATGCTAGAAGATCATTTCCTAGCACACAATGTCTTCCTTGAGGGGCTATACAAAAAGTGCATCTCAGAGTGGTTAACGTAAGAAAGAAGGAGGAGGAATTGATTTGCCTGTTTCCCCTCTCCCGCCCCCATCTCCTGCTTCACATCGGTCACATAGGGTTTACCCCAGGCTGGTCTGATTCCTTCACATGTACAGTTCATTATTGTCTGATCCTTCAGTGACCACTCAGTAAGACAGGTGCCATTTCATCAAATTCCAAAGAAGAGGAGCACATAGCGTGAACACTGCTCAGCCTAAGGTTTCAAATTAGATTTCATCCAGTGACTTGATGCAACTCAGAGTGCTGGGCCAAGAAACAGGGATAAATAGCCTGATCTGGGAGGCAGGGGATGTATTGGGAAAACGAAGCAGTCAAGGGCATCTGAGGGGGACCAGCAGGCTCCTGTTACACTCAGTGGACTCCTTACTGTACCGAATCTTACGCCTTCCAAAACATCTGGCTGTTACACTACATTATGAGACATCTGTTTCATTTATCTAGCTATCAATGTATCTATCTACCCATTTATTAGGAGAAAATGAAGATACCTTTATTCCTTCCCAAAAAGGAAAATTAACAAGCCCAATCAGATACAGAACTTCCTTCAGTGTGTGAGCTAGCTGTCATGTCCTAGAGGATTATAGTGACAAGATGCTCCAGAGTTACAGTATCTGCTACTTATCTATAGGAATAAGTGGATCTAGAAATCAAGGTGTGATTTGAGAGTGTCCTGAACCCAGTGACCCTAGGCTATGTGAACACTCAGGCTACGGGACAGAACCAAAGCTGTATGAACCTCACATTATTCATCCTTCATGTAAAATGGGGATATGAGACCTCACTGAGAATGTGGTAGGCTTCCCGTTGACCACAGAAATAAAAGTATTTGAATACTTAAAAGCATTATAAACATGCAAGAGATTAACTTAGTTTAATCGGCTGTGCTGGATTTCCTGCTCACTGATTCCCCAATGTCTCCTTGCCTAAGAACCACCCATGACTTGTTCTATGAGGGCATTGCTTGGAATAAGTGGGATTAATGTGAGGTTATTGCTTATGTTCAGAAACATCCACACTATGGAGGCCATATCACTTGTAATGTACAGGGGACTCACTCTCCTAAATGGGAAGTCATTCTTGTGGTCAATGTTTGGGATAAAGGTAGAATCCTCGAATAGGAAATTGGCTCTGAGAATCCAAGTCCTTCATGGGCCACAGGCAGAAAAATAGGGTAACCCCGAGGTATTTAAATGCCTAAGAATGTGTTCCCCTGGCCTAGGGAACTAAGGTCTGCCACATGGAAGATGACCAGGACCCATGAAGTGGGGATGGATCCAGACAGAAGCTGACATGCTAGAGATTAAAGTGAAGGTATTTATGCTCATAGCACTCTTTGGTTTTTCTTTTCTATAGTTATCATAATTACTGGCCCTTTCAGGGCTGTCCTAAGAAAAATAAAGAGTTCAGTTACAATAATTGGTCGACTAAAACGGAAGGCAAGCTGTAGTAAAACAAACAAATTATAGAGACACACACATCTTCCCTGCTTCTAGTACACACAGGCTGATCCTTTCAAGCTGGGGTACAACTTATTTTGCTAAGGGGGTAAGTAGCCCTCAGTGCAGTATCTGGCAGAGAATCAGCATCAGGAGCCCACTGAAAGTTCTTTCTTTTCCCTTCTGAATAGAAAGACAACCTTCATGGCATCAGCCATAGCTTTTTATAAGAATTTATCTCATAAAGGCAGTAAAGATGTTGGTTTTGGACCCTAGCCATTGACTAAAACATAATTACCTCACCAGAAAAACCATTGTATATTTGCCAGGAAGTCATATAAAGGATAGCAGTCAAAGAGCAATGAAAGATGCGTCGTATTTTTTCCTCTACGTATAGCAGAGTTGGAAAGATAACTAAGAATGGAGATCCAAAGGTTGTGAAGTTCTGGTCAGGCAGTCTGATGTCAGATTGTGAAATCATGATTTTACTTCACTGGCCTCTTGCATTTTTGAAATCCACAGAGTACTCGTACAATTTCACCCAACGTTCACCACAGCTTGTCATGATACCCATTTTTTAGAGGACTGAATCAGTGCTAAGGATGACTTGTCAAAGTCATAATTGACTTGTCAAAGTTGTATATATAGCTCTTGGCCAGAACAAGAGCCCAAGCCTCCTGATTCTGGGGCATATGACTTTCACATTTGTAACAGCTCTTTCTACAGTAGTAACTGGATGGAGGATGAGAGATAAGACCGAAATCTGGGCAGCCACTTAACATAAACCTTTCCCTAATGTTCCCTAAGAGACTCACAAGATGTACATGTTCCAAGCAATCTCTCCCCACTGAATAGAAACTGTGACCCATATGAAATAGAGCACAAAAGACCTACAACAGAAATCCGCGCACCGACACTGAATCCAGAGCCCCATCGTGCATGGCTGACACCCTCTTCTTGAGTAGGTTAGAGATCCCCCTGTTTCCAAATCCCTATACATAAAGCAGGGGATGAGGAGACCTGGGGAAATGGGCTGTTCTCAGAGTCCCATTTCTATCTGGGACAAACATTGTACAAGTCTGCACTGGATGAGCTGTGAGAGATCAAGGCAGGGAACCAAGAAAGGGAATGTATTATTGTTCAGCTGCAGTAAGTTCGGCTATTGGCTGCCATCTGTTGGGGCCCTGCTACAATCCAAGCCATGCTGATGTGTTGAGATAACACATGCCCACGAAGCTTTTCCCAACACCTGGTGAGCGTATTGTAAGCAGAGCAGAGGAACAGCACTCCGTTTGTGGATTAGGTTTGAGTCAGTGCCTGACCGCACGGTGTTTCACAGAAAAGACCTAGATGCCATTCAAAGACTCTTTAAGATCCCTTGGCCTTGGCTCAAAACCAAGCAGCAAAGGATGTAAACATTTTATGAGTAGTTGGAATAGAGAATATCTTCTGGTAGGGGGAAAAAAAAAACATTTGGCAAATCCCAGCACCCACAGAATCTCAGAACAATATGTTGTTAATCACAGAATTCCAAAACAGATGCTAGCTCTGGCAGGCACTGAGGTCAGCAACATCTCGTTCCCTCCTTCAAGTCCCTCACCTGTCTCTGGGCAGTGATTTCACTGAGTGTATCGATCTTGTTGAGTTGGGATTGTGTTTTTATTTTCATTTAGCTTTGAACAAAATCATACTTGGAACCTAGAATCAACAGAAGGTAATAAGTGAAAAAAGCCAGCAACTCTTTTTTTAGATGAGGAATTAGAGACTCATAGGTGTGAGACTATTCGCAAAAGATCTAGACCATTAATGGTAAAGCTAATATCCAGAGTTACTTGTACAGGGTATTTCTTACGTAGCAGGCACTGCGAAGCACTTCAGAGCATCCTCTTAAAAAAGTAAAGGAATATGTATAAAAGACCCATGGACAGAGACAATGAGGGGGGAGGATTGAATATGGGAGGTGGGGGTGGGTAGGTCAGGGGAGAATAATGGGGGGAAAAAAGAGGGCAACCTTAATTGAACAACAGTAACAAAAAGTTCATCATGATCCATTCATGTCTACAAATACAGAATAGGAGGATTAGAGAAATGAAGTGATTTATCCAAATGACAGTAAGTGGCTGTGATGAGTTTCAATCACAAGACTTATGAGCCAGTCATCTCTGACTCAGTTTATGTTGTAAGTCAGAATTTCAGACCATTCAATGTCCTGACTACTTTTTAAGACAGCTGTGGGGTCCCTCCCTCCTATCTCCTCTCTCCTCTCTCTCTCTCTCTCTCTCTTTCTCTCTCAGCATCCTTGCACTAGCTTTATTTCATTGAAAGCCTTCTAATTTTTATGTGCTCTGAGATGACAATATTTTCCAGTTAGAGCACTTCCTTATTTTAGCTTCTGGATCATTCTCTGAAAGCATTGCCTGTGTTGTATATCTCCTTCGCTAAATCAGTCTCCCATGTTCTCCCCCACTTTCTGATCTAGTGCCTCAGTCTAAGCCTCGTTTAGGGCCCTCCATTATGTACATTCATTTCCCTTCTCATCCTGATCTTGTACTGCCCTGTGAGTGGGAAGATACAGCCAGCCTCTCTAAACATGACATTTCAGACTCACATATCTCACCTTCTGATCTCTGAGTCATTGCTTATTCTATTCCCTGTAATACAGTAATAACTACTCTTTTCCTTACTTCTTCTCCCACCATGTCTTCCAGTGAAAATCCCACACATCTATCAAACTGCATCACAAACACCATCTTCCACATGCCGCTTTTCCTGTATCACATCCTTAAGACAGGATTTGCTTTCTTTCCTCTGTGAATTCCCACAGCACTTTCTCTTTCCTGATTAATTACTGCAACTCAGGTTCCCCAAGAAGCAGACTCTGGAAATAAACATAAAGGGATCTTTTTTGTAATTTAGACTTCATTGGTGGGAAAATATGGAACGCTTCATGAATTTGCACCCCATCCTTGTGCAGACGCCATGCTAATCTTCCCTGTATCGTTCCAATTTTATAGATGTGCTGCCGAAGCAAGCAGTGCAAGGAGAACTTTATCGGGGAGATCTCCAGGGATCCACCGATCTGGGGAGGTGAAGGGAACAGGATTGTGCAAAGGAAAAGTGGGACCGCCATGTTATCTCTGCACGGGCCATCGCCAAGCGCAGGAGGAGCTCTGGAGCTGGGGTGGCCCTTCAGAATTGTTCTGGATGATTCCAAAAGGGTCAGGGCCTTCATATTTCTCTCTCTACCAGTCATTGGCCCTGAGGATCTAGGGCAAGGACCGAGGACATAGAAGATAAAGAAGATTTAGCTCTGAACTGTGTCAGCTGTCAACACTCCTGGGAGAAAGAGTACTTTTCTCTGGAAAGGATGGAGGGCAGGGGTAGAACTATGAATGCATACCAGTCTCCACCATGGCAGCTTCTAAGTACTCTGGCATCCTCTGCTTTGTAGGTCATGTCTTTACCTCCTGGACACTAGAAATTTTGTCCTAAATATTTCTTGAACTCCTCACTGCTCTGAGTACAGTCAGTAAGAGATACTGGATGAATAATTTGCTGAGATGAATTTACTTTGTGCTCTTTTGCAGAACCTCCACTTTAAAGACATTAATGAGGTATGTCAGGCACATATCTTTATTTTAAAGAGGAGAGAATTTAGGCAGAAAATGATAATTGGACTTGGTCCATGACCCAATTAATTTAAAAGTTTCAAAATGAACAAAACAAACAAACAAAAAACCCTAAGTCTCAGGACTCTCAGGCCAATTGTCCTTGAAAAAAATTACCCAATTAACTAAATACAAATAGTAGCTCAAAAAGGGGCCCCAGTCAGGTCAAGAGTTAATAACCTTGCTCTCTAAACCACTTCTCAAAAGTTTCTGCTTCTGGACCTCCCTGAGGTGCCTCAACTTGATAAGTTATTAGACTTCCTTTTGGCCCATATTCACATGAAAAGAGCCAGGACTTGCAACTGAGATTTAAAACAACTCTGGCCCATTGCCCAGGGCTCACACTGTGAAGAGCGCCAAAAGCATCCTCCAAGAGCCTTTACCGCAACCGCCATAAGGAAGATGACCTGAATACCATTCCTGAAGTCATTTTCGGGACACTTGCCACAGCCATCAAGTCAGATCATGAAGTCATAAAGAACCCCCCCCGTTTTTTTTTTTAAAGACAACAAGGTTGCTTTCTCTGTCCCATCTCCCTCGCTTGCCACACACATCCCCATAATTTCACATGACCCTTCCCTACCCTAAATCATATGGTTAGCAGAGAAAGTCATCTGCGATATCACCTATTTCTAGGAAAACATGGCCAAGCACACTGCTGCCTGACCCTAGCCATGCACCTGAACTATTTATGTTGAACAGATGTGGCCTGTTGCTTAACAGGGTTTCTTGTGCTCTGTCACACCCAAGAACCCCAGGAGACTGGGACAGAGAGCAGGTCTGTTCCTACGACCTGCAAAACCCTGTTCTCAGCATTGCCTTCTTGGCTGAGTTACCTCCTTCTCTCTGGGTTTATTGATAGTTGGGCAGAGACATGCATGTAGAAATCCTATATAAGCACTGGTGTCCTGGCCTTATTTACTGAGTGGTTAGAGCAGCTCTGTTCTTCTGTTCAATGTCAGGTCAATGGTCCTTAAATGTGGCCTTTTCTATACCATCCAACACTGCTGATTGTAAATATGATACCAAATCCACAGCCTAGACTGGCTCTTTAGTTTCACTTCTCACCTCTCCTTGGCACACAGACCTGCGTTCCAGCAAAATCATCCTCTTGGTTCTTATATTAGAAGCCTTTCCCAAGATTGCCAAGTCAGGTACCCCCAAAACACTCTGGTGCTAACATTTCATTTCATGATTCCCAAAACCATGAAAGAGCAGCTACAGAAACTCTCCCCAATGTACTGATGCATTTTTGTATCAATGAATTCACATGCTTGACTGGAGATGCTTCTCACAATTCACATAGGTCATATTTATACTTTATATTTTCATATACACACCCTTCACATTTTCACACTTGCACAGTCCTTTAATCTATTTTTTATTATAGTTTGCATTCAACACTCTTTTTGTATTAGTTTCAGGTATACAGCACATTGTACAGATGTTCAAATAGGTAACAGTGTGTTCCCTATGATAGTTCAAGTGCCCACCTGGCACCATTGATAGTCATTGCAGTACTATTGACTCTATTTCCTACACTTTACCTTACATCCCATCTATTGTAACTACCAGTTAGTACTTCTTAACCCCATCATTTTACACAATTTTGTGATGTTCTTTTATTCCACCCCTACAGAGAAATGATTTTTTTTTTTTAATCTGCAATAGGTAAAATCCTACTGAGTTGGGCTTTCAGGTTTCAAAGTCTAACTCAGATGCCCTCTCTTCCTTCAAGACTTCGGGTGGCCCCCTTTGTAATCCATATGTGGTTCACATCACTTTCTGCATTGTATTATTATTTGTGCTCATATCTCATCTTGTCTCTATTACATAGTAAGCTGGACCAGGGTAGAAGCCAGATGTCAACTTTTCTTCTGTTCCAACAATATCTGGCATAATGCACTGGATAAAGTCAATGTTCAATGAGGAACTGAGAAAGCACTAGGCATATCTTCTAAGGCACTGAAGTATATGACAAAATGAATTTGAGGACTACTTCAAAATAGTTTTATTACCTTTTCATTGAAGTTTAGCATATGTAAAATGTTCAACCATTAAACATAGAAGTTGAAAATTTGTAACAAATGATTAAAGGCATGCAACCATATCCAAGATAAATATATGGAACCTGATTTATACTCCAGAAATACCTCCCCCTGCTCCACAGTCAACTACCAAAAGTAATCACTACTCTGACTTCTAACATTTTAATTTTTTTCATCAGTTTATATCAATGGAATCATATAGTATGAACATCTATGTGTCTATTTTTTATTTTAATTTTTGTTCATTATTATGATTATACATGTATCCACATGGTTGCCCTATAGCATAGTTTAATTTTTTATTGCTAAATATTCTATCATATGAATATGCAATGACTTATTAATGTTGATGAACATTTGGGCTATTTCCAATTTGGGGCAATTTTGTACAAGGCTACTATGAACACTTGCATCCATGTCTTTTGGTGCAATGTGCATGCATTCTGTTACATGTTTAGCAAGACCTGAAACTGCCATGCCACAATGTATGCACATATTCAGCTTTAGTTGATATTACCATACAGTTTTCTACAGTGGTTTTACCAATTTGAACTACCATCAACATTGTGTCAGAGGCCCTGCTGCTTTTTTATTTCCACCAACACTTGACATGGTCAGATTTTTAAAATTTAGTCATTCAGATAGGTGTGTAGAGGTAGCTTTGTATGGTTTTAATTTGCATTTCCCCAGTGATAAATTATGATAAGGAAAACACATTTCTTTATGCTTTTTGGCTACTTGGATAACTTTACTGGTGAAATGTCTATTTATGTCCTTTGACATGTGTTTAATTGTATTGTTCTATTTGTCTTAATTTGTAACATTTATTTATATATTCTGGATACAAGTTCTTTGTCAGAACTATGATGACAAATATCTTTATGATTTGTGTAATAGCTCTCAATGGTATTTTGTGATGAATAAAATAATCAATTTTAATTAGATCTAATGAATTAATCTTTCACTTTATGGTTGGTGATTGTGCATGTGTGTGTGTGCATTCTTGTTTAAGGAATCTTTGCTGAATTTGGGATCATGAAGGTTTTCCTCTATATTTTCTTTTAGAAGCTTTGTAACTACCTTTCAATTTAAGACTGAGCTACATCTGGAATAAATTTTGGTATACAATGTAAGAAAAGTGTAAAATTAATTTTTTCATAGGCTATACAATTAGTCTTGAGGCATTTATCTACAAGACCACTCTTTTCCCATTGCATTGCCACAGTACTTTAAACCAATGACAATTTACACTTGGGTCTATTTTGGGGTATTGTTTTAAATATATATTTTATTGATTATGTTATTACAGCTGTCCCAATGTTTCCCTCTTTGCCCTCCTTCACCCAGTATCCCCATTCTCTCCAGCAATCCTCTCGCCTTAGTTTATGTCCATGGGTCATGCATATAAGTTCTTTGGCTACTCCATTTCTTATACTATGCTTAATATCCCCCTATCTATTTTGTATCTACCAATTTGTACTTTTTAATCCCTGCAACTTTTCCCCCATTCTCCACCTTCCCCCTCCCAACTGATAACCCTCCAAATGATTGCCGTATCTGTGATTCCGTACCTGTTCTGCTTGTTTGCTTAGTTTGTTTTTTAGATTCATTTGCTGATAGTTGTGAATTCATTGTCATTTTAATATTCATAGTTTTGATCTTTTCTCTTATATAATTCACTTTACCATTTCCTATAATAATGGCTTGGTAATGATGAACTCCTTAAGTATAATCCTTGTCTGGGAAACACTTTATTTGCCCTCGATTCTAAATGATAGTCTTACTGGATAGAGAAATCTAGGTTGTAGGTCCTTGCCTTTCATCACTTTGAATACTTTCTGCCAGTCTCTTCTGGCCTGCAAAGTTTCTTTTGAGAAATCAGCTGACAGTCTTATGGGAACTCCTTTGTAGTTAACTATCTTCTTTTCTCTTGCTCCTTTTAAGATTCTCTATTTATCCTCAACCTTTGGCATTTCAGTTATGGTGTGTCTTGGTTTGGTCCTCTTTGGGTCCATCTTGTTTGGGACTCTCTGTGCTTCCTGCACTTATTGAACTACGCTATAGGGCAACCAAGTGGATACATGTATAATCATAATAATGAACAAAAATTAAAATAAAAAATAGACACATAGATGTTCATACTATATGATTCCATTGATATAAACTGATGAAAAAAATTAAAATGTTAGAAGTCAGAGTAGTGATTACTTTTGGTAGTTGACTGTGGGGCAGGGGGAGGTATTTCTGGAGTATAAATCAGGTTCTATATATTTATCTTGGATATGGTTGCATGCCTTTAATCATTTGTTACAAATTTT